AAAAAGTTGAAGAATGTTTGGAGCTATCAAGATTAAAGTTTGAAGATCAAAGATCAAAAATTCTGAAGAAATTCAAAAGTTAAAGATACCAAAAATCACACAAAAAGGTGATGAATTCAAAGTACAAATTGAAGATCAAATATCAAAGAAAGTGAAGAATTCAAGAGCTCCAAAGTGTTATAAAAAAGTTATAATTCTCTAGATTATGTATGCTTGGGCAGCTTTACAAAAATACCTTGAGGTTAAGAGAGTTTTCTGAGGATTGATTCGGAGGAATGCATAAAATGAACATTGTTCGAATGAAGTGGGAAAGTGTTTATGAGGATTGTGAGTATTTAGAGTATGGGGGTTCTTTAGGAAAAATTTTAGACACAAATGCATGCGTTGAGGTCTTGGCAAAATGGTTGGGTTTAATTAGGATTGTTTTATGTGATGTTAGTATGTTTAAAATTCAGTTTTGCTTGGGGGCAAGCAAAAGTTAAGTGTGGGGTAATTTGATATGTGCATATTTAGTCATATATTTTGTATAGAATATTAATATTTTTTGGCTAATTTATTGCAATTATGCAACAAAAGATGCTTAATTACGTTTAAATTATATTTTCAGTTCAAAAGAAGTGCTCGGAAGCAAAAGAAAGCAGGAGAAACTGTCAGGAGCTCGGGGATCAAAGAAAGAAGAAAAGAGCAAAAAAAACCAAGAAGGACTCAGTGAGTTAACCCTAGACTCGACGAGTTCCCACGAAAATTCTCAAAGAAGAAGAGTCCTTGCCTTGCCGTACACGGGGATTTAATGAGGGACTCGACGAGTCAGTTAATGGACTCGACGAGTCGCCCCTAATCTATAAAAAGGGACTTCCAGATCGATACTGGATTTTTACGAGAAACCCTTGGAGGAAAAGCTGCGATTAGAAGACCTGCTAAGGCGCTGGAAGCCAGAGAATCAATCCTAGATCCAATTCTGAGAAGAATCAAGGAAAATTCAAGTCCATTCTTACTTATTCTTTAAGTTGAACTATGTTGAGCTACTTGAATTCGTTTTTGCTCATAGTTTTACTGTAATCATGACCTAAAACTGTTATCTTCTATTTAGGATAGATGACTTTATGGTTATGGTATGATTTTATGGTTGGATTAATTTAATTTGGTGATTATGTTTTGTTAAGTTTGTCAAAGAACCTTATGTGTTAACTACAACTATTTTGTTGTTAATTAACCAGTATATTAAGTTGCATGACCATCTCTTAATTGCTAATCTCATATGATTTATGTGAAAATATTGTTATATGCCTAGGAATAGTGAATGTGAAACTAGGGTTAATAGAGAATAGGTGAGTTAATATGTGAGCTTGTGCGACGAACTATCAGCAAGAGGTTAATTGAACGACTAATTTAATTAACCACTACAAGTCTTACTTAACCCGAATCAATAAAATAGAAAACCTGTTAATTTAACCAACTGACTACTGTTTGAATTGATTTGTTTTTTAAGGATTAGTAATAGTGAACGTGAACCTAATCACACTAATCGGTAGCCAATGAAAAGTTAATCCATTGCACTTGCCATAAAATCAACCATAGGAATAAAGGATTCAAACCTAAACAGAAGTCTTCTTTATTATTGAATTTAGTTGATCTTTGCTTGCTTAGTTGTTAGTTTAAGTTTTAGTTAAATTGCTTAAGCTTCTAGTCTTGCAAAAATAGAGAAAACCCTTCCTTTTATTATTTTCTTTTTAGATAATTCTAGTAATTAGTTTAATTTGATGTTCCCTGTATTCGATACCATGCTTGATTAATTATACCACCAATTGATAGGTACACTGCCTTTTGTGTGTCAAATTTATATTTAAAAGTAGTATTAAAACTAGTTTGTTATACACACATCACTCGTCCCTAGCATATAGCAACCCCCAAGAACGTCCAAATCTATTTACACGGCATAAATACCACTTTTTATACCTAGAACTAATAACCAAGCCCAAGCCCAGAACCTAAACAAAACACTATTAAGCCCAATTGAAATCACATGCGATTTTGGTCCAAACAACACCAAAACATGGTGTTTTCGGTCCTAGACTGAGAACTCTAATCGCTTAAGAAAAACAAAGTATAAACCACAATTTATGACCTAACATTTATTGACCTCAAAAAATATTTTATGTAAATTAGTACTCTATTTTCTTGCAAAAATTATAATAAATCGAGAAAAATGATTTAATTTCTAAAAATTTCCAAATCATCTTATTTTGTTTTGGATTCTGGGAAAATTGTATTTGTGCAGAAAATGAGTTTTAGATATTTATTTTTGAATAAATCCTTTATAAGCATTCTTAACAATGTACTTTGATCATCAAGTCTTTAAGCTTGATGTTCATCACATGCATCATGTTTTGAAGACCATGCATAGACTTATTTTGTTCAAAATGATGTTTCTAAAAGAAAAACTCGAATTCATGTGGTTGATGAACCTTAAGACTTGTAAAAAAAATCATTTTTTTGGGTTTGAAATAGGTTTTGGTCCTTGGATTTCATTTACCATCAAGCAACATGCATGTTGATTTTGGGTGAAATCCTACCATGATCATCATCAAAATCGTGGGTATGAATGCATGTATTTGAACAATCATGAAGAAAGGTGTAGAATGAGAAAAAGATGCAAGAAAACTTGAGATTTTTTGAAGGAAAAATGAAGAAAATATAAGGAAATTGATTTTACCTTGAATATCAACTTCAAATGATGAATATTCTTGAGTAAAATAAGGCATATTTGTTGAAAATTTTGTCGGTTTTGGAGTTAATTCATAGAGGAAAGAATGAGGCCTTTAGAGAGAAGAAAAGATAGATTTTGTCTCTCTTGATACCCAATCTCTCTTGTCATCTCTTTGGGGTTTCTTTCCACCAAAATCGGTCACCAAAACACAAAGATATCTTTAAGCTCATGAATATTTGAATGGAAAAATCTCTCCTAGTAATTTTGTTCCTAGGTTCGAATTTTTCTAGAGAGAAGAAAGAGAGATATTTTAGAGAGAGAGAAGTAAAGAAACGAGAAGAGTGTGATTTTTGGGTTAAAAGATTTAAATTGGGAAAAGAGATGGTGGCAGGGAACGATGGCCGAAAGTATGAAATATAATGCCCTTTCTTTCTCTTTTATCTTTATAAAATTTAAATATATTTATAAAAATATCAAAATTTTATAAAATATGCAACTTAACCTAGTTTTTATTCATAAAACCTTGATTTTTGACTTATAAGTTAAGGTTAAATGTTAATATATTAATTTTTATTTTCATTGATTATATTTTTTTTGAATTTATTTATTTTATATTGATATTAGAAGATTCATAACAAATTTTATGGAGTTTAGGTGTTAAAATTTATAAATTTGAGTTTTTTGGCTTTTAGGGTTTAATAAATCTTTGGGCATCAAAACAATTTGAATTTTTGAGTCTTGAAATTATTTTAGAGTCTTATAATTATATTACAATTGATAATAATGTTTACCACTTGTTTTTGTCGGTTTATTGACATTTCTATATAATGATTGCGAGATTCAAGTGAAATTGAAGAATAAAGTATACTAGTCATACTTTTCAACTTTGACTTAAGTTCCTATGAGACACTAACCTAATTGATCCCTTTTCATTAATCAACAATATATAGTACATAATACAAGTTAAGGCCATAATACATAAACCAATATGGGCCTAATAATACAGAATAATATAAACATCATAATACACATTAAAAATTTCTACTGCCAGGTCAAGTGTATGATATATCTACATGAATGTTCAAAGATGCTCGAGTCAAGGAATGACCTGAATTTGATAGTCACTGCAGTTAAAGTAGTTGTAGAATTCACATATAAATATGAAATCTAATCAATTATCCATCGTTTCTAATTGTTTCCAAGTTTCTAATAGGTCATAACTTAACTTCTGGTTTCTAAGTCTAGAATGTGGCATGCCTACATGTACAACTGAGTTTAGTCAAATTTATAACCGAATTGAATTTTGACAATTATCACAATAGATGACACCTTATACGAGTTATGTCGGTGTTTTACACATGGAACACAAAGTACATTCTATAAGTAAGCTAAATAGACCCAGCCATTAGGTGGTGTGGTCCATGGCTTTCTGTAGAAAAGTACAACATGGTCCAAACTCGATATATATTGAGCGTGACTCGTATAGTATGCTCTAATTCCAAGAATTTAAGGGATATAATCTCTTATTTGACTTAATCCAACCTGTAGAAATTTCTAGAGCTTATATAGGGTTTCAAGGTAGTTGTGTAAGGTAGTTAAGTCGTTATTAAGGGTGTTGATGTGGACACTCCACTCTAATCTAGTCTAATAGGCTCTAATCTATATAGGTTATCATGTTACCTAATATTTTACTAACCTTTACTATTTATTATCTTATTATTATATAATCATTTTATTAACTTAATTTATTTTTCAATTATTGGCACAAACTTTTAAAATTCATGGTAACTTTATCAAGTCATATATATATATATATATATATATATATATATATATATATATATATATATATATATTGTGATTTACATATGTTAATACAACTATTTTTTTTAAAAAAAATTGGACAATTTATTCATACGTTTATAAGATAAATAAATAGTAACAAATATGATTTTTCTGTTTCTATGTACGTCGTATTTTTTTACAGTAACATGTTTTAGTCTTTAACTTATTATTGTGATTTACATATGTTAATACAACTATTTTTTTAAAAAAAATTGGACAATTTATTCATACGTTTATAAGATAAATAAAATAATAACGATATAAATTTCAAAAAAAAAAAATTCTAAACAAATCCTCACCAATCTTTTTTTTTCTTTTAAATTTCAAATATTACATAGCAAAATTTTGATACAAAAACAAGCAACAACTAATCATTTATAGTCATAAAAGATCTTTCAGTAGGTTTCAGATGCTTATAAAATTCTAGCCGTGACTTATACATAGTTTGTCATTCGGTTGCTGACGGGGCTTTGTTACGGATCCACAATGTCGCAATGGGATGCATTGGGTACTCTCCTTCCAATTGTACCATCACATAATGATTGGTGTACACAAGTGCAAATGTAAGGACTCGATGATTTTGAAACTCTCTAGGACCTCTCCAAAGAGGAAAAAAAGTTACGGGGCCTTCAGTGGTCAAAAACTGAACGATCACACCAAACCTGTTGGCTATCAAGATGCCTGTCTCAGGCATAAGCATCCAATGTTCTGTTGGTGCTGACTCATTCTTCGTAAAAAAAGACAATGAAGTAAATACTTCATCACATCCAACGAAAACTCTTGTATAGTCGTCATATGAACAAAATAACTCGTCTAACAATTGTTGACGAATGTAAAGCCACTGATCTTCACCATATCCAAGACAAACGGCTACTGATCGAAAACCACAATTTCCATCACCCAATACATTTTGTATATGTGCGATGTATGGATGAAATATAAATGTAATTTCATCCAACAATGAATTATTTCCCAATGGTGGTTCCTCGTTTAAGTCAATCTTGTATGAACATTGGCCTATCGGATCCTCGTTCATGTCTGTCTGGTATGAACATTGCCCTATTGGTTCCTCATTTAAGTCTATGTTGTATGAACATTGACCTATTGGTTCCTCGTTTAAGTTTATATTGTATGAACATTGGCCTATTGGTTCCTCGTACGAACCCATGACGAATGAACTATGTCTGTTCGGATCATCGTTCAAGTCCATAAAGGATGAACTATACCATGGTGGCTCCTGGTTTAAGTCTGAACAACTGTATCTGTGAGGAGCTTGACTTTGATGTTGGACACAATTTATTTTTAGGCGTCCACGGTTATTTTTCTTAACCGAAGGTTCATTGACCAAATTTGTTGATGGATGAGTTATCTCCTCCATTCTCCTTAAATAATTATATTTGATATGATGTGGTTGATTGTTGTATATCTCTTTAAACCTTTGCATACGATGATCACCATTAAGATCACCATATTCCACAGATATAGAAGGCATCAAATCAAGCTTTCTCCAAAAAACATCAACCGAATCTAATGGAATAGGTGAACCTATAGTCAAACAGATAAAATATCATAAAGTGGTTATAAGTATAAAAATGTCAATTTAATCCAATAGATTAAACATACCTGTACCGACATACATCACAAGTTCGTGACCACATGGTAATCCAAAACATGTCCGCAATTGACATCCACAATTCTCAAGAGCTGGTACAAATCTTTTTGACCGATGAAGCTCTTCCAATATTTTATCCATAGCATGCACTGAAACACGTTTTCACAGTACTTCGAATATCTGATCCTTAAACCTTGGCATATAAGTGATTATGCAGCGTGTGAAAGTTTATTTGATAGCGGTTTCTTGTGATTGTACAACTTTTTCAATAACACTTACGAATTTGTCCAAATCACATTTAACAGATTCCAGGTGTTTTTTCAGCTTGGCGTGTTGTCTCTCGACTCTGTTTGTTGTTGAATTTCCAAAATTGACATGTTTGTCAGTCCACAACGATACAAATCTTTCAAAAAAATACTTCCCCAACCAAACAGTATAAAGATAATCAAAAACATCTAAAAGGTGAAAAAAAAACAAATTAGTTTGAATGAATTAATAATAATTGTTAAACAAATTAAGACTTCAACAAATATAAGAATAATACATGCATGTTCGAACAATAATGTTTGAAGGTCTGCATAATTTTGCATATATGCATTTAGTGTTGGAGATTCGACTAACTTCGTCCACTTTAGATGAAAAGAATTCGAAGTCTTTTGTGGTTTGATTCGTTGTCTACAATGCTTTGTTATATCGTTGAATATATGCCACCTACAAAGTAAATGATTACTTTGTGGAAAGACATCTCCACATGCTTTTATCAATGCCAAATCTCTATCAGTGACGATAACACGAGGACAAAAAGAATCGTTAATCGTCAATTTCAAACAAGTCAATGCCCATATATAGTTGCTCGTTTTTTCATTATGCATGAATGCAAACACTATGGAAAACGTCTTGTTTGTAGAAGTGACACCAACAATTTCTAGAAAAGGAAGATTATACTTGTTTGTTTTATATGTAGTATCCATCAACACCACATATGGAAATGCTTGCCACATCTTTAATGATGTTGGATGAATAAAAAATAGATCTTCTAACTCGTTAGTAATCGTGTTTGCACGATACTGTAAGTTGTACCCTTTAGTTTGCAAAATGTGCATAACATTATGCATCGGGGTTCTACCCTTCTCGCCGAGATCTCCCCAACTTCTGGACAAAATTATATATAGTTCTCAATGAAGACACATTATTTTGATTTTGCGCTTTTAGTGTTGGCAAAATATTTCGCGGTTTCACATCCAACTCTGTCAAATCTTGCACCAAACGAGCGTCTTTATCCGACAAACGCATTACAAAAGGATGACCCTCCATATACATTGATGGTTCATGATTGTGTTCATCACGTACGACCCTTAACTTCCAACCATCGTGTGCTTTCAAATAATTTCCTATCAATTTGAATGGATAATTAATTTTTTTTGTTTGCACATCTTTATTCCTGGCTACACTACCACGATCACAACATGCCAAGTACTATTTTAGAATTGAAGTTCTTAGTTATTGCCTTTGATCGTTTAGTGACGATAACGTAACCTTGTGAACATGCCACATTTTGCACCCACATCATTAAATCCCACGAGATCTAAAGACCTAACAATTGAAAAAAAAAACCATGTTAAAAAAACCAATAAAATACATCAATTAATTACAAATAAGTAAATAATAAGATTAGAGACATACTTGGTCCGTTGAAAATTCCGAAATATTTTCCATTTTTTTCTTGCAAAAATAAAAAACAAAATAAAAATATTAATTAATAACCTAAATTTTATTTAAAAATATATATTATTTTATAAGTTAGTGTTAAGTAAATGTAAAGTGATCATGAGAACTTCAAATAGCATAACCAAAACAATTATTTTATAGCACCATCTGATTTTCGGTAATTAAGTTTTAGAAAAGGGATAATGACTTAGGAGGGTAATAACGTTTCCTGTTTGTCCATTTTAGGTCTCTAACGTATTTTTTGTGCGTATTACACCATTAAGGTTATTATAACCGTTTACAAATAGTCATTTTAACAGGAAGAAGCCGGTAAAAGGATTATTTATAAACGGTTATAACAACCTTAATGGTGTAATATACACAAAAAATACGTTGGGGACCTAATATGGACAAACGAGAAACGTTATTACCCTCCTAAGTCATTATCCCATGAAAATATAAATCCCTATATTAAATTTTTACTTTTTAAATAAGAAACTTGTAGGTCTTGAGGTTGGTAGTTTGGATGTTTTTAACCTCGGCTTTCTTTATAAATGGAAGTGGTGGTTTCTTAATGACAAGGGAGCTCTTCGGGTTAAAATTGTCAAATTTTGTCATGGGGAAGGTGGTGGTTTTTTGGAAGATTCAAGAATAGGAATTGGAGGGGGTGTTTGGCAAAAGATTGTAGAATCCATTAATCACCTCCATGAGAATGATTGTATTCCTTCTAATTAAATGTATAGAGTGGTGGGGGTGAGACTCAAACGAGGTTCTAGAAGGATGTTTGGTGCTTGGATATTCCTCGTAGGGAGCGGTTCGGGAGGCTCTTTGCTTTGACCTTTAATCAAGATGCTCGAGTAAGTGAATAATGGGATCCAGAGGGATGTAATTTTCATTGGCGTCGGTGGATTAGAGGAGGGGCCAATGAAAATTACATCCCTCCGGATCCCATTATTCACTTACTCGAGCATCTTGATTAAAGGCTAAAGCAAAAACCTCCCGAACCGCTCCCTAAGAGGAATATTCAAGCACCAAACATCCTTCTACAAGATAATCAAATTGGGTCGATTAAGCCCCTCCTCTAATCCCCGACGCCAATGAAAATTACATCCCTCCGGATTCCATTATTCACTTACTCGAGCATCTTGATTAAAGGCCAAAGCAAAGAGCCTCCCGAACCGCTCCCTAAGAGGAATATCCAAGCACCAAACATCCTTCTAGAACCTCGTTTGAGTCTCACCCCCACCACTCTATACATGTAATTAGAAGGAATACAATCATTCTCATGGAGGTAATTAATGGATCCTACAATCTTTTGCCAAACACCCCTCCAATTCCTATTCTCGAATCTTCCGAAAAACCACCACCTTCCCCATGACAAAATTTAACAATTTTAACCCGAAGAGCTCCATTGTCATTAAGAAACCGCCACTTCCATTTATAAAGAAGACCGACCCCAAGACCTATAAGTTTCTTATTTAAAAAGTAAAAATTTATTATAGGGGTTTATAGTTTGATGGGATAATGACTTAGGAGGGTAATAACGTTTCTCGTTTGTCCATATTAGGTCCCCAACGTATTTTTTGTGTATATTACACCATTAAGGTTGTTATAACCGTTTATAAATAATCATTTTACCGGCTTCTTCCTATTAAAAGGACTATTTGTAAACGGTTATAATAACCTTAATGGTGTAATACGCACAAAAAATACGTTAGGGACCTAAAATGGACAAACATAATACGTTATTACCCTCCTAAGTCATTATCCCTTTAGAAAATGGACACCTTGGTCCATGTTGCCACTAGGCCCATCCTTAAAAGGCTTAAAGAATTGTCTAATATATTTATAAAAAAAACCCTAGTTTTCCCTAAATCAGTTTCCACACCATCTAACATAACGTATCCTCTTCCTTATCTATCTCGTCGGATTGTAGACCTCATTGGCCACAATGTTGCCGCCACAATATATGGCATGTTCCTGTCTCTATCTCGACGAAGCATTGGAGCAACTAACTCGCCGTCTCGCCGGATTTTCGATCTTGTTGGCCACCATGTCGCCGCCGCAAAATGTGGCCCGTTCTCTCTCTCTCTCTCTCTCTCTCTCTCTCTCTCTCTCTCTACGGAGCACTGCCACCACCAACTTACCTCCATTTTTTTTTCTGTCGAAGAACTGCCACCACCAACTCGGATGGCAGCCTCTAATGAACGACCCCGACGAACAACATATAAATGAAGATACAAAGTTGGAAAGAAAGAACTTACCGTTTTCCGGCGAACAACGACTGCGTTGACTATTTTCCAGCGAACATGTTTTCTTTTCCGGCAGCTTGTATTAAGTTTATTGATTTTGTATTAAGTGTACTGAATTAAACTTCTATTAAGTTTACTGATTAAGTAAACATACTTAAATTTAATTAGTTAATGTTTTTTGTGTTTTAATTTTGGAAAATAAAAAATTAAGCATGGGAAAGTGAGTAATTTTCTTGGAAATAGTTATGGAATATAGTCAAAAAGCCAACAAAAATTAGTCAAACATTCCACTAAAAAGGAAGTCAAAATAGTCTAAATAGACTGAAGTGTTTAGAGAGTAGAGTGTAAAAATAATAAACTGTTATTAAAGAGAGGGTTGATCTTAAACCCTAGTAGGCTACCATAACACTTTAATCATGCATGTGTATATAGACCAATAAAATGGAGCTAGATATGTCCCTACTTTTCATAATGTTATACCTACATAACACAAAGTGCACCCAAATTTAAATTGTTACTTTGAACACCTTTATGGACGATAAATTTTGCTTCTTTGCTAATGGTCGATTTAACATGTAATACTTTCGCTCTGTCTTATTTGTTGAGATGCGTGTTAATTCTATGAATGTCATGACCCATATTAAACTCAACATTAAGACATTTTATCTTGAAAATCTAACCTAATAATATATTTTTGAAAATCTAAACTTGTTTAATATGGTTTACCAATTATAATATTGAACTTTAAATCAGGTCACCGTATTATATATAAATAATTTTACTTTTATGAACTTTTATGTCCTTATTCTATCAACAAGTTCATTCAATGTTTGGTTGTAGTTGGTATTATGCCAACATATATAGGGTGTTACAAGCTTGGTATCAAAGATCATAAACTTAACCGAATTGGGTTGCACTAATGCATGCATGGGGGTGAATGATCGTGAGTGTCATAATTACTTTGAATTTATGTTATGCATATAAGATGTTTGATTTAATAATGTTTCAATTTTGTAAACAAAGTGACAATGGCATCTACATACCATGTTTTATATGATGAGATTGTGTTCTTGCTAGATGATATACCATGAACAAATGTGTCGAGCAAGACGAGTGGTTTTTGCACTTAGTGAATGTATCTTTCAAGAATATGAGTACTATCGACTTACACAATATCTCAAGCTTTCAACATACAATATTGGATGTAAAACATGTACAAACAAAACAAGTATTGAGCAAATATACAAGACATTAAATGCATAAACTTCTAAGACAATTTACAACCAGGAACATCAATCCAATGAAGCTCGATTTCGACTTCACCACATTCCACGTTTCTCAATCTCAAACACAAATCTTGAACAACAACGTTGTTTCTCCAAGTTATGCAACTATCTTCTGCTAGGCAATTTGACTTGCTCGGTTTTATCCGATTAATTACAGTGCCACTTGGGGTGTTCTTCAGATTCATCTTTAGACCCTCCAAAAATGGCTTTAAGTGAAATTCTGCGTCTCCCATTTTATCATCCATGCTAAAAAAGTCATGATCCAAGACTGCCTACAATTTATATACACAAAAGTTTGTTACACATGCCAAAACAATCACACAAAAATTGCACCTATAAAGTTGGAATAACATGTAAAAATGCTTTAAATATAAAAAAATTACCAGCTTTATTGGAAGCTCGGGATCATAAACGAAAATAGTCAAGTCTTCGTTCCACACGGGGTTCACATCCCTCTCCATGACTCGAGTCTTAAGTTTCTGCATTAAATTATAAACATCCATGGAGCAAACAATATAACGATGAAGCTCTCAGTGTCCCAGATACAACAGTATTGAAATTTAAGTATCGAAGCAAAATATTGATTATTAGAAGGTAGAATCAATAATTATCTTTCATTAGATTATGTAAATTTGATTACTAAAACCGAAATAATCAATTTGAAATAATTTAACGTAATGCAAGATTATGGCACCAAAATTAATGTATCTCTTCCCAAGAATACAACTTTTTATCAACATGAATCCATTCGTGACAACAAAGATTCAAAAGCATGTATGAGAATTTTGAAATGAAAACCTAAATGGAAGAAACCATGAGGGCTGACCTGTTTACCCATTCGGATGACGATGTATGGATCACTGGAATTGA